AAACAATGTATTTTAAAATACATGTATTTTAAATACATGTATTTCAAATACATGTATTTTAATTACACTCATTAAATTCAAATTCAAGTTCCCAAACACAACCCTATGCAGTATAGAAGCCATGTTTTCCCAAATGCATGTATGCTGTTCACTACAAAAAGGGTTTCTAAGTTAGTCATGGTTAAAACCTGGCCAAGGGATGGTTATGGCAAAACTCTCGCCACTCTGGCCAAGGGAAGGTTACAGCAAAACTATCATTGCTAGTAAATTCTTAAAAGATAAACAAATAGAGGAAAAAGGCACTAACATCTCTTGGGTGGATCGGAGGTACGGTTCCAGATATTTCACCTCCAACTTCATCCATATAATCCTCTTACTCAAATACTTGATTTGATACTTCAAGTCATTCTCATCCCTATCATCCTCATCCTCAAACTCGTTGTCATACACAAACTCGTCCTCAGCATCATCATCAGCATCATCATTCCGATCATCTAAATATGGAAGACTACCATCAGCATCATCATTCGGATCATCTAAATATGGAAGACTACCAATTAACAGAGATAAATTAGTTCATGATCAACAAATGCATATGCATATTAGAACTCTAAAAGTTTGACAGAAAATAAACAAAAAAAGGAAAAAAAGTACAAATTGGAATTTCAATATTTCATACCTTCTGCTCTCTGTGTTGGTGATTGTGCACAGGATTGTGTTTTTTTTAATGAGATCTGTTTGCCATTCACTAACAGCCAAGAGAAATATATTAGTTAACAGTCAATAAATAAATTTTCAGAAATCAAATAAATTATTAAAAATAAAAAAATAATAAAAAAATAAAAAAGGAAATTGGCACTAACGATGGCAGCCCATTGAAATATAGTTTGCGTCGTAATGAATGGCGCAATGATTCCATTTTGAATTCTTTGAACCCTTCCTCGAGTTCTTCCACCTTCTTCCTCCACTCCTGAGCCTCCTCCAGTAGATGCTTGTAGACATTCCTCAACTTCACGTCCCTCAACAGCTGTTCCGACTTCACCCTGCGAAGGCCATCAGTCTTAAATATCATCGGTTTACAGTAGCTTTTAGCTTCCCTCGGATCGGAGAGTTCCGAACGATGCATAAGAAGGAATATCTCTTTGGCCTGCGCCGATGGAACGACATCCATCTTTGATTTCACCTGAAAAGTGAAATTCTTTAGGGTTAGAGTTCCAGACGATTTGGCGTAGAAAAGGGCAAGACAGCTTGAAATTTTGTTTTTGCCCTTACGGTTTTCAGCTCAGGATTTTGGTCTTTTCGTCTTTTTGCCTAATTCACTGTTCCCCTTTTACCCCGTTGAAAAAAAAATAAAATAAAATAAAGCAAAACGCAAATGAATAGTCAGAGGTTAATAACCTCTATGCCTTGGGTAATTTGCATGAAAAGACAAAAAAACCCGGTAAAAGTAACACCGTAGAAGGGTATTTTTGGACATTTACATAATTTGCTATTTATATTCCTGTAAGATTTTCTACTTTACCTTACAGTCGGTTTGGTGAAGGTTTCAAATGTTTTAATTTTTT